TTCTACTTGCAGTCGTTGAATTGAGAGAGTCCGAGTTGTGCTTATCCAAGAAAAAATATCCCAAAATTATTCTACTTGCAATCGTTGAATTGAGAGAGTCAGAGTCAGTGCTCACCCTCAATTTAAAAAAAAAAAAAAAAGACAGATGGTTGGATCTGCAACTGGATCTTCCCCCTGGGAACCTAGGGAAATGGACGACGTCTCGACACTATGAATCGGAGACACATTCAGGCATAAAATAGTGAGGAGAGGAGAGGAGACGGTGGCGACATCTTCTGAGCACAGAGACGGGGAAGGGAAGAGAGGAGACGACGGAGGAAGAGAGAAGGGGGAGGATAAAAGAGGGAGGAGAGGGGACGAGGGGGGAGGAGAGAAGAGTGATGAGAGGAGACGGCAGGGGGAGGAGAGAAGGGGGAGGATAGAAGAGGGGGGAGAGGGGACGGTGGGGAGAGGAACAAATATATGTTTTTGATTTTGAGATGAAATTATTAATTGAGATTAAAATTTATAATTAGTATTTAATTAGATACAAAAACCTGAGTTTTGAAAAGTCAAATTAGGAATCAAATTTATGCAAATGGTAGTTTAAATACTGTCCCGGGTGTAATTTCCTCTTTAGATAGGTCACTGAAGATGAGGATTAGTAAACCAAACTCTAATAGGCCTAAAGTCAATAAGTTCAATTCGACCTAAAATGGTTAAACCAGCCCAACATTAGGCCTAGTACATTAATCAACAATACTTAGGCCATGTTTGAGCCTCAATTTGATTTTATTTTTTGTATAAAATGCATTTTAGAATAGTAAATTGATGGAGAATGTATGATAAAAAATAAGAAAAATTTAAATTTACGTGTAATATTATTTTATTGAATAATATGTGGTTGAAAATAAGAAATAAAAAATGTATTTTAAAAGAAAATGAGGATCAAACAAAGGCTTAATAGTTTTCAGACCCTATCCATGCACTAACCTGAACGGAGGTGCGTGGTTGGGTAAGTGGTTCACCTGCTAACTCATGAAAATAAAAAAAATTATGGCAAACAGGTTCCCGACTGATCAAATTCTAAAGAAAATTTGAGGTCTTTTCAATTAGCAATGGCCCGCTGGATTTTACAGGTTTGTGTCATCGAGGTTTTATGAAAACCCAATGGATATTTCGATTTTTACCAAGCCGATCGCAGACTGATCTAATAAAGAAACTTGACTAGATTGATGGTCACATCACCATATTTTCGATTGAACCAGCACAGTCCAGTCCAGGTTTTAAAACCCTACGCATATTTCTTTATTAAAGCACCACTGATGCACCCCTACCGCATACATTGCACCACATTGGTTAGTTACTTTGCCGGGAGCACTACGTGATTTCTGGTAGTTATGTTTGCATTCAGCTGTGAGTTAGTCACTTGACAATGCATCGAACTACTTCAACAAGTCCGTGCATGAGAGACTCGAGAGAATTTTTTTCAAAGACAACAGAGAAGAACTAATCACACAATTCTTAGATGCACTATTGAACAGGATTGCAAGAGCAAATTCCCCAACAAAAACTTTGTATATAAACTACACTTTTGTCAATGGCTATTTCCTTGACATAGTCCAATTCCAGGGTAGCAAGAATCCTATACAACACAACACAACGTGGTCATTGCTGTCAAGCTTGGGGCACTAGCTCCATCCTTCACAAACCTGGCCTTGATAAAAGCATTTTCATCCACATTTATGGACGAAATTTTACTATGAAAGAAATAGCAAGAGGTACAACATGAACTTGCTCATCTTCGTACCAAAACTCTCTATTCGCTTAAAAGTTGCAGCAACAAGCTCGACCCTTACTCAGATTATCCCACAAACAGATCATTTGTCTTGGTGATTGGTAATGAGCGGTGTAATAGTTTTCCATGCACCCATACTGACAAAATTTCCAGTTATGAGAGTACAGAACATTTTTCGTACTGTTGAACTGCTCAACCCACATTCCCATGCTAACATCCTCCATTTTAAATAGCTGCCAATAAGGGGGGTGATAAAATTAGTAACTAAAAAATTTAATGATTTCCAGAAGAAAATGTAGAAATATCAGGTTACATATACCCAGAGGTTCCGATTTGCATGCTGGGACACAATATATTTGGCAATGTCACTGGATATTATATAACCAGGCCCATTGGCATAGGGAGGATAAATTTCTTCCGGCCATTCCTGCGCAAGAAAAAATACATCGTTGATGCATAGTAAACTGGAATCAAATTTTGTTTACCTGCAAGGGAACCTTTATACCTCATAGGTTACGGCCCATTTCCCATTTCTAAGAGGCCGGTGATGGAGATTGAGATTGCCCATATACAAAGGCCTTGAAGGAGGCATGCCTTCAATTTCTTTTAGGACAGTATCCACCCTAATAAATGTGTCATCGTCACATTTCATAATGTGAGCAGCTGTGACATTTTGAACCTACAATGGAAATGTTTGTGCAATAAGAGAAGATAATTTGGTCCACAAACCAAGTATAAACATGTTCGGCTAAGCTTAAAAGTACATTTATAACTAAATAAGCTTCTTTCTAAAGTAAGCAATTAATTTACTGGTCACAGTTGGAAATAAGGCCCTGTTTGATTGGCATTATTTTCCAAGGAATTAGGAAAATATTTTCCACTTTCCACTTTTTTGACTGTTTGATAGGCGAAATTTTCCACGGAAAATATTTTCCACCTTTAGCCCACACGTGTGCATTTTCCAACTTTTTGATGAAAATTTTTTCCCATTTTCCA